ATGACACTTCTTTTCGGTACGCCTGTTTGGTACATATCCAATGATCTGGAAGGGATTAAAGACGCCTACCGAGGTTTTACTGTGTGTTCAACCTTCAACAATTTCGTTACAAATTGATCAAACAGCCTGCATCGCGTTCTAGTGGTGTGCGTTTACTTTTGGTCTGCGTCGTTCGGCTGAAAAATACAGTCTGCTGCGGTGAATCTTGGAGGTCCTTACTGGAACTACACAGTTCGTTAGATGTGCGACGCTTTCAAAAGGCGACAAGCCGCTCTGCGAAGAAACAAAACTATAAGAACATACGTAGCATTTCTCGGCACGGCTTGTGATGAAGAATTTAAAGTAGTCCGTTAAGTCCCATTGGTTTTCAAAATTATTTTCATTTATTGGGTGAAAGGGGGTTAGTAAAAAGTGGAAACAAGACAGAACAAGAAAAACAAGGTGGGTAAAGTTACCACCTCCAAAAACGATTGGCTCCTGTGATTCAAGGAAAGGGGCGTTACTGTAGTGGTTTCCTGTTTTGGTGCAGGAAAATTGCTTTTGTGGGAATGAATGAATGAATTGAAAAAAAATGGCATTACTGAAACTTATCATCCCCATATGTGATCTGCTCCCTCACTCAGGCGCCTACGATGAAATCTTGTTTGTATAGCATCCATTGATAACTGCATGCCGAGTTAAGTTAGGAAATGAAACTTGACCGTGAAAAACCAGTGATTTATGAATGAATCAAAGGTTTTACCAATCGTGTCTTCCTTCCGGTAAGAGTTCAAGGTTAAGTGTGTGTTGGAAAACAAGTTACATGTTTCGTTTGGCCGCCAAAACCTGCACGTAGTTTACGTTTGTGTAACAATCTGGAAAGTTACGTCTCTGATTGCACTGTCTGTATGATGCGATGATTCACAGCTAAGAATATTTTAGTGTCTCCAGTTTCGTTGGTAACAACTGCAATTATCATTCAAATTTATCTTTTACGGGTTTAAAAAATAAATATGAATCTATAAATGTGTTTGGTGTGTCGCATGAATGGTTATGAATGAATGAATAAATGAATGAATGAAAAGACCGGATATATATATACTTTAACTGTCTGACCTTATATTCATACTTTCTCAGTCTCTTCTACGTAGGATGGGTGTGATGTTGTCCTTCCGCCAATTACACCAGAGCCGATGTCGCGTGTTCTATACCATACGACGATATAGCTTTCAACGACCCCGTAACTTCTAGACTTGGCCCTTACCCGACCCCACCCCACCCCCTACATACAGCCTGAGCCTAGATCACTTGAGAGGCTCTTTTCGAAGAAAGTAGTACAGCCCAACACTCCTGTGACCTAGATCTGACTGAGAAAGTGTGTAGATGGGTAGGGAAACGTGAACAGGTATATATTATTATATACGATTACATTTATCTATCCAAACCGAAACACTGAATCGAATTAAAATAATTTAATTAGAAGGCCTTGCTGAATTATTACTTTCCGTTATTCCATCCACCTTTTAATTCCTGGTTACGATCACAAATTACGGGCTTTCCGGTTTCTTTTTTTTAAGAGAAACCTTAACGTTTTTGACTACGTGTTTTTGTTTCAAAATCACTTCAGACTTCCGGTTTCGATGAATGAGTACTTCCTTCCGTTTTGCTAGTTCCTGTTAGACCGAGTAACTGTGATGGGGTTTAGTCAGCGACACGTGCATAACTGGGTCTTTTTACCAATAGGCCCGATTAGCATGTCGTAAAAGGCAACTAAGCAGGTTTGTTTTCTTCGAAATCGGCGTGTATCTGCCTGAGAGACTAGGAAGCAGAGGTCTATATACAAATAAGCCAGATCTGTAAAACGGTCGTGCGAGCAAAACTCAACCATATCATGACAAGAAGAACATGTTACTATACAGTGAATAGGAAAACGAAGAGGGAAAGAGGGAGACCGAGACAGAAAATGCTGGAGAGTTGACATCCTGGCATAGAAGATCTGATTTAAAGTATTCGACACACAAGACATACATGACTATCAACGCAACATGAAATGGACTATAAGATCAAAAGGTAGCAAATATTATCCCAATCTAGTTATAAACAATTTGTTAATCGCACTTGCCAGAATGAACAAAGGATGACGGGACAAGTCTGAGAGAAGTAGAGTTAGTCTGGTTCGAAGTTAGGTGAGAACATCACCGGTGCAATCCAGGTGTGGGGAAAAAAAAAAAACAATTAGATCGTTTCGGTCAGATACTCAAACCCAGACTATGTACACAAGAACATCCCACATTCCATAGTTTCAGGCGCATAATGTAATGGGTTTACCTCTTACATCTTCCGGTATTTAAAACATTTGCACAACGTGTCTTAGATTACATATTATGGTGCAATTACCTCAAATCCGAAGATAGGGGGTTAATCCCCAGTGCGGCAAGGTTAGATCTGAAGTCGACCCAGCCTGGTCTTTGAAGTGAATTAATGTAAACGATAACAGAGAGACTGGTCCTTAAAATGAGATTATGCTCGACAACGATAATTATGATGATGATAATAACAATAATCCGCGTTGTTTACAGCCGGTAATTGCAAAGACGAAAAAAAAAAGACAATGAAATAATATATTTTTATTGAAACAACTATTTTCGGTTATGTTTAGGTTTTCCGGCTTATTTACACACTGTCTGACCTTTCATTCCTGTACTATTAGTCTCTTCTACGTCAGAGGGGTCATGTTGTCTTACCTCCAATTACAACAGCGCTGATGTCGAGTGTTCTATACTACACGACGACACAGCTTTCAACGTCCCCAAAACCGGTTTTAACCCAAACTCCCCTAGCCACAGACTGAGCCTAGGTCACAAGAGAGACTCTTTTCGAAGGAAGCAGTACAATGTGACATCGCTCCTAGATCAGACTGAGACTGTGTTGATGGGCCGGGAAACGTAAACAGGTCCGCGTTTTCACGCTTTGTAAAGTCCTTCTACATGGTGGAGAATTATGGCCAATTGTGTCGACAAGTATGACTCAAAGTTCACGGTATGCATCAGCCGAAGTGAACCCAACTGCCCGGTGTGCATCAGCCGAAGTGAACCCAATTGCCCGGTGTGCATCAGTCGACGTGAACCCAGCTTCCCTGTGTGCATTAGCCGAAGTGAACCTAACTGCCCGGTGTGCACAAGACGAAATGAACCCAAATGTCCGGTGTGCATTAGCCAAAGTGAACCCAACTGCCCGGTGTACATTAGCCGAAGTGAACCCAACTGCCCGGTGTGCACCAGCCGAAGTGAACCCAACTGCCCGGTGTACATTAGCCAACGTGAACCCAGCTGCCCGGTGTACACCAGCCGAAGTGAACCCAACTGCCCGGTGTGCATTAGCCGAAGTGAACCCAACTGCCCGGTGTGCACCAGCTGAAGTGAACCCAACTGACCGGTGTGCACCAGCCGAAGTGAACCCAATTGTACGGTGTGCATCAGCCGAAGTGAACCCAAATGTACGGTGTGCATCAGCCGAAGTGAACCCAAATGTACGGTGTGCATTAGCCGAAGTGAACCCAACTGTACGGTGTGCATCAGCCGAAGTGAACCCAACTGTACGGTGTGTATCAGCCGAAGTGAACCCAACTGCCCTCTCAACAATTTCATTTTAGCGTAAGAAAATGAAACCAAACAGGGGTTGGGTTCTCGGTGTCAAATATTTGCCATGCGTCTCCGTCAACCAAGAGGTGTTAAATGGGCCAGCAGACGTGACCCTTCACAACGTACAGGCGAATCCTGGCCAATGAGAACGGCAAACAAACAAGGACATGAAGGAATACCGCAAGTCAGTGACAAGAAATATGGACTGCCACCGCACGGCAAATGTTCAGTGCTGTGTCATATGGAATGCCTTCTTTTTCTTCTTCGCGTTTACCGGCTGTAAGTAAAGTCCAGTGTAAAGTTCTGGCTCTTCGTCCAAATCCGGACTTTAGTCGCGTCCCAGAACATAAGTGTTGAATGCATATTCGTTTTACAGATATGGCTTTTGTGTGTGCAGACTGTTGGTACTTTCCCTCTCAGTCAGATCCACCCTGACTTTAAAGGAATCTCTCCCCCTCACCCAAATTAGTCAACTCATACAACTTGCATTTTCAGGGGAGACAGTGGGTGCATTCTTGTTTTCCCCACAATGGGACCCCGGAACCCACGCGGGGGGGGGGGGGGGGTGGTGTTATCAATAAAACTAAAGGACCCCCTTTTCACGCCAGTGGCACATTATGCATATGATGCCTAACAAACTGGTATAGACCAGTCGACACTCGCTGGGTGATGAGGTCAACACTACGCCAGCCGCTTTTACTTCCCAGGGCATTACCTGATACCATGGGAGCCAAAGTCTATTCTGAAGCGAGAGAAAATCCGTCACGATGCGGTGTGGAACGTAATTTATGAAATAACATGGCTTGTGTTACATAAGAGAATACTGAAGGTGGTGGGTTCGTTTCACGGTCGCGTCATTAATGGTGCAGATTTCATGGAGATCAATGGGGATCGTCGTTGGCGTTACGGAGTTCCTAATTTATGCGACGCTCTTTGCCGAGGCTAAACGTTGTGCGGAGACGGACCGAGTCATAGAGAACAACCCGGTGCAATGATGTCAGTCCTCGTATCAAAGACACACAAACACATACACTCAGTGAAAAATGCCATCAATGAATGTAAGCTGTATAGGAAGACAACTGCAGCCTGGTCATCTCCTGATCGGCTAACGAAGAAACGAACGAACGAACAAACTTTATTTTCAAAGAAAGGCTGACGAAGAAACGGCGTGGACCAGAAGCATACAAGATGCCCGACAACTGACACATCAACAAACAACACATATAGGTGGAGCCACATAAAAGCTGCACAATTAGATGCATGCTTACAACGACAACAACATGACAATGAGAGAAACTGCAGAGAACAAAACGAACAACAGACTGGCTGACTTGTCTGCAAACTGCTGAAACCATTAGACAAAACACAAGGCTGACTCACCAACATAAATAGCCGTAGAATTGTGGTGGGGGTTGAATGGGCTGATTCCTGTGCCGACGTCATAGTCATTCCTGGTCATTTTAAACTGGCCATTTTCCTAAAGAAGAAACAGACAGATACAGTATGAACTCAAAGAAAAAAAAACTATAATCAAGCTCGAATCTAATGAATAATGTCTGTGCGTGTGTTGGAAGGGTGGGGGTGGGGGGGATTTTTTTTTTAAAATCTCACTACTCCTTATGCTGAGTTAAGGAGCTGTCATTTCACTTCGTCTAGATTTTAACTCTGCACATTTACATATTCGTATGCCTCAATGCAGCTATTTTAATATCCTTTCTTTCTTTGTTTTCTGTTTTGTTGTTTCGTTAAAAAAAACGTTAAGAAATATACCAATAGAAAAGATACTGTAGGTATATTCTCTAAGATGAAAGGATGGAGTAAGAGTGTTCATGTAAACTTTTAACAGCACTTGCTGGGATATTATCAGGACCAGCATATTTGCCATCCTCCATAACGCTGGCACTATTTCTAATTTCCTCTGCAGATGATATACGGCAGTTAATACCTAGCTCCGTTTCTGTGGTCTTTTTATCTGGAGGGTCTTATGGTGCTGATCTATGGAAAAATTATTCAAAATACAGTCGGCCAAAAATTTATTTGGTTTTGAATTATGTTAAGAGATTTCCCCATCGCTATTTTGCCCCCCCCCCCCCCCCCGGGTCATGTCAGATGGTTGCCTGATTATATTTGCTGTTAATTTCTTTGTTGTGCTCTAAAAATGATGCTTCTTTTCGCAACTCCCGCCTTTACTTCTCCTGTTAGCCCATTTTAACTTTGTACGTACCTGCTTTTATCGGCTTCATAACGTCTGTGTTAGCTTGAGCATAGTTTTCACGGGTTCCAGTCGACTGGCGCAGAAGTATCATCTCCAAGGGAAGTGTGCAGCAGAGTCTGCCATCTAGCCAAACTAATAAATTAGCGGCTATGCGCTAAACGACATCGATATAACAACAAATCATTCTTTATGTGGTTCGTTGGCACCTTTGGGTCTTCCAGAAGACAGTGTTAACTTTGTGCCAAACAGAGGCATGCAAATAACAGCCAATCAGAGCCAAGGGTGAATTTCTTCCTCTACAAAGCCTGTGCCACAATGCAGAGACCGTGCAGCATGATCGTTTTATCGCTTGCCTTGTTTACTACAAAGGAACGGTAACAGCATTACGTTTGGAACTAAGCATACAGCAGAAGCTGCCGCATGTAAAAAGCAGTGATCTGTCAATCCGTCTGTCGGTGTTTTCCTTCAAGACCAGCTGCCAACAAAGGCTAGGGGCCTGAACAGACCTGACTTTACATTAAGCTTTCAGGTTGCACTACCTCTTCCTAGAACATGTATGGTATGCATAGACAACTGGTTACACCCTACTACGTGTTGCCTTGGAAAAACAGAAGTGAGATCGTTTGAGAAGGTGTCCAAGGCTGAGACTAAAACATAAGGAGACATACCTGTATAATGTAGTGTCTGCACCTGGGCTGGTAAGCGTACGTCCCACAGATGTAGTAGAGGCTCTCGTTCTTCAGCACCATGACTCGGATATAGTTGTCGCATTCTTTCTGTGGACGGAAGAACAAACATGGTTTATTTGCACACTCGACAGAGCAGGGACAGGGACAGAACATTTGTTCTCCACGTATATGGCAGCCTGCTCAGGCAGTGATCAAATGATGGCCTATTGATCTTTTTATCTGCTAAGGCGTGGAAATGACTCTTTTATTATTCTGTGTTCATTGTTTCAAATTCACTTGCAACCTCCGTGGCCTAGTGGTTAGGTGGTTTGCCTCGCATTCTGAAGGTCTAATGTTCGTTTTAGGTCTCTGTCCTGTATGTATTTCAGAGATTACTGGAGGTCGTTAGGGGATTTCGAAGTTTCGGTGTTTTGGGCGGGAGTGCATTCGGTGACGAACATCCTGAAAAGGGACAGTTAGACAAAACACAGACAGACAGGGGGGGGGGGGGGGGGTTGTTGAAAAAAAAATCACAACTTGAAGATAACTGACACCCAAGCTTGACTAGTACGTCAACAATTCTAGAAAAGGAAGTGTTACACCACATGGTACTTCACTGTGGTTTAGTAGTATGTCACAAAATGTATTACAGTGTTCCTCAACCTGTTTACATCGGCGGCCCATAAAAACAGGAGACCTTTCGCAACCCACCAAACAGCCAACCAAACATGAAACAAAGTGTAGATAGCAGGTTATCTGGTAAATCCGATGTCACAAAATTGCAACTGCTACAAAATGTGATATTTGCTGCGTCTTGAAGGTTAGAAAATCTTATTTACGTGGCTGGTTTGGTGTAGTGATGCAATCATATTCCAGCCACAGGAGTTATAGCCCTTATTCCCAGCCTAGACTAGACTGCAGGGTAGGTAACCGGGAGGTGTCTGAATATAGCTATGTGTAACGGTTGAATAGAGTGTCTTCATTTGTACCTGTTGATTCTTATCGCTGAGGTGTTAATCTTACTGGCAGCTATCCTAGAAGAGAAAAACTACCTAGGCTACACGATTAGGCAGAGATTCGCGACAGGCGACTAGGACCTTTCCTCGGCCGAGCGGTTGAACAACACTTATTAGGAGATAATGAAATGTGTCCCAAAAGTCAGCCTGAAAGAGAAAAGAGGGAAACACTGGCCGCGTTAAGGCATGCCTATTGTGAAGGCACGCCTATTAGCCGCCTGGTCATTATCTCCCTTTGGAACTAGTTGGTCACTATCTCCATTTAGAACTAGTTGGTCACTATCTCCCTTTGGAACTAGTTCTAACAGGCAAATATCGCTAGGCCACAGAGATCTGGATGTGGCTAGTCTTACAAATGTCTGCAGACACAAAGATGGTTGTCTTAGATAAATCTGGTTGGACAGCCAAGCACGCATCAGAGGGTCCCAGGTGGGACAGTTTCCGTGCTTGTTTCTTGCCTCCAGGATACGATCAAAACCTAATTTAAAAGCTGAATGAGGCAAGTTTAGTAGAAGTCTCTCCCACCTCATTCCCTACCGAAAGGAGCGGCTAGCAAAATGGTTAAGGACACAGGGTTCACATGAAAGAGATCCGGGTTCGAATCCTTGGTAAGTTTAGGGATTTTTCCAGTCACTGGCACAAATAAAATCATAACGTGCACTGTCCGTTGCTACAGAACTAGCCTTGCAGATTATACAAACGCTAGTCTCCCCAAACAAAACAGGTCACGTTCCATTCATAACTTTTTTTGGCTGGTCTACTTTCCTTCAGGTTACGGGTGTGCCACTGTTTGCCTTCTGGTTTGTCTTACATTATCGTTTTTATTCCGAGAAAGAGAATGCATGTGACATAGGTTTCATCACTATCTAAAGGGGTTTTGCGTTAGACCTAGTTTGTCGATGTTTTTTGGAGTGTTAAACGCGCTGGTTGCTGAAATATACAACACGCAATATCAACGACATTGCGGGAAACCCCAGTAACCTTCTGGCAAGGTAACGTCGCTCAAGGTCGACTAATCAGAAATAAGCTAGGCTGAAGGTCGACCAATCAGAAATGAGCTAGTGTGTAACACTGTGTAAATGGGGACACTAATGTTTGTATTACCGCGTTGCGGCCCTAACTCCTCGGACTCAAACAACCATTCCCCGCAAAAAGTTGTAAATCCAAGCAGTAAAGGTAGTTCAATTTTAAACACCGCCTTTACTGTCTTTGTTTACGAATTAACCAATAAGTGAGAACATTATTTTCAAATGGCTGGGAATTGGGCACGCAGGCCTGCCCAGCATTGTGCCCTGCTGTGACCCCATTCCTTAAATACAGTATTTCATTCATTTATCATTTCAAATATAATAATAAACATTATCAGTGTTATCTACATCTTGTAATTGCCAACGCTCATTATATATGGAGTGTGGTCTTGATACAATTACATTGTGAAACGACTTCATTGAACTATAAGCCACCGATCTGCAATGTTCAAAGTTGAGTCGGGTTTTATATTCTCTCTCTCTCCCTCCCTCTCTCTCTCTAACTCCTCTTTCTCTCTCTCTCTCTCTCTCTCTCTCTCTCTCTCTCTCTCTCTCTATCTCTCTCTCTCTCTCTCTCTAGAACCTACCGACACACAAAACACAAAACATCGTAGCTCCTGCGACGGTTAAAAGGATTCTCCGTAAATATAAACAGTATTGAACCCTGATGACTATCTTCTTAGGAAGACGCGCTAACAACTACCCCGCGGTAGCTCTATGGTGAGGTAGACGCGCAGAACACATACCTTCACTGGTCATGTTTCTGTGTTTCTTTGTCTTACCAGACTCCCCAGTGCCAATAAGAACAGCAAAGGAAAATGACAAGTGCATTTCATGCAAATAGGCAGCTTGTGTGATAAACATCACTGTTTTACATGCAGAAATACGTAGAACAAACATGAAATCTGATCACAGATTGTGCGTTGTTTGTGACTCAGCGAGCTAATGCAGTCTCTAGTGTGCATCGTGTCTTGGCATGCTTTGGGTAACGAAGGATTACCCAGCCAGTTATGTGGCCAGGACAGGGATATTGTTTAGGTCAGTGATTCCCAAACTGTGCGCCGCGGCGCCCTGGGGAGCCGCGACCTCTTCACAGGGGCCCCGCGAAATATTGTAAAAAGCTTCATATTTAAGCAGGACACGAATATTCATATTTTTTACTTAGGTTAGGAAGCTTTGGAAAAAATTTTATTGGGAAAAAAAAAGGCGCCAAGAATAGTTTGGTCATAGATGAAGATGTCATCCAAACTGGGAAGGAATCCAACTCATGCGTTATTAAAATACGTAACACTGAATGATGCCAAGAATCGACTATCACTTCAGATACAATTATATGGGCTCAGTCTCTTTAAAGCAGCAGATTGTGATGTTATGAAGCCTGGTTGCATCCGAACCTTACTGAATATAAATGTGTTTATATTGTCCCTACATCTGACATTTTTCTACTTGCAATTGCTACTATAACTGACAAATGCCAACCGACTGCTGAAGTGTGCTGCCGACTGCTGAGGTGAGTTGCCGACTGCTGAAGTGAGCTACCGACTGCTGAGGTGTGCTGAGTACTAGAAGATTCGAAAACGTTGGGTTGAAGTTCAAACAACATGCTTCAACGTCACGTGACTGACCTGCTGACCTACAGGCGACGGGGTGTGCCAAGAGAAGATGAGATAGATGCCCTAAATACTCACATGGGTCGTTTCCCCAGTCCGTTCAGCTTGGCGAGACATTGCTTTTGGCGAGTGAGTGGCATTAAATCTAGAGACTGGGGCACGCAGAGGAACGAGGGAGGAAAACAGACACCGTGAAACAATAAATAAGAAAGTGGATAAGCAAAGACAGACAGACAGACAGACAGACAGACAGACAGACAGACAGACAGACAGACAGACAGACAGACAGACAGACAGACAGACAGACAGACAGACAGACAGACAGACAGACAGACAGACAGACAGACAGACAGGAAAAAAAAGAAAGAAAGAAAGAAAGAAACAAAACAACAAACAAACAAAGAAACAAAGAAAGAAAGAAAAATAAAACAACCAGCTAAAATACACAAACCGAAACTTACAAGTAATAAAAGAAAACAAAGAATGACAGCTAAGAAGACCTATAAATAGGAGGAAAGAACTGGCAGAGTAAAGAACGAAAAAAAAAAGAAAGATATGCTGACACACCCAACAAAATGAAAGTGGTATCAACCCCACGACCAGAAACAATGAGCCTGACCCTAACAAAGAGGTCAAATAAGCAAGCCCATACACAAGGCGGCTATTGGGTTACAGGTGACACCAAGAATAATGAACAAGATAACAGACTGGGTGTGCTATGAACGTGCTGTTGTCTACACGGGTGGTATGGTATGCTCCAGCTGGCTCTGCAATTCAGGGAAAATAAATCTTCATATGTTTCTGTGTTCTATTTCATTTGGTTGCGTGACCGTGTGACACAGATAGTTGACAGCTCAACGAATGAGTAGTTAGTGTTTCGAATGTAATGAATAAATGTTATTTGTTTAGCATTTAGCATTCAATGAAAGTTAACTGTATTTTTTTCCTCTGTAAACTCCAGCTGAAAGTTCTGGTTGTTCGCCCACCTCTGGACTCTAGTCTCGTTCCAGAACCGGAGTACTACGTGCATATACGTTTCACAAATCTAGCTAGATTGTATGCAATCTGTTGGTTCCTTGCCTCGAATAACACACCCAGAACTCTTGTTACATGCGTGTTGTGGAGACAGTTGCCATGCTGAACAAGAAAACAATTCAATACGGGCGAAACAAATCAGAGAAAAGTCAGGGTAACTACTTGCAGCCAACTGTTGTCAGACAAGGAAGATGGCACTAGATTAGACACATCCTAGTAAGAACGAGCAGATAATAATTAAAACAGGTACTGAAATAGAAAGTAAAGAGACTGATAAATCGACGATTTTCAAAACAAAAACCCTAAAACGAACGTTGCTAATAGAGGGGACCAAGGAGGCTGGAATAATACGGAAGGGATTGCAGAAGACAGGAACGGAAGGTAGGAGTAGACTGCAAGTCGTTTGTGACATAAAACGG